TGTTTTTTGACATATATCTTATCAGGAGCCTTGAGGTGTAAACCCAACAAAATCGAATATTCTTCGATGGTTGGTGTCATATCAACTTCATTGAAGAGGAAACACTTGTATGCAGGATCCTAGAATTACACTACAACTCTAATTAGTTGATCATTGACAACTATTGCAAGAAGGTGTGCTACATGCCCATGTCTCTAGAAAAACTTCTCTTGTCTAGCTGGGCTCATCTTTTTCCATATATCAACCAATTCTTTTAGATTATTTTATTTGAGGAGGATAGATGTTTCTTGAGACAAGGTAGAATCATAGTCGATTGGTAAACAATACCCCATCTTTAGTTGCATCTTTTCTAACTGGATTTTTACTTCATTGGGTAGCTCATAAGGAGCTAATACAGATGAGGAGCAAACTAATCGTTCTGTGGAGTCCATAAAAAACTTTTGTTGAAGATCGTCTTTCAAGCAAATGTTCTTTATGCAACTTTATGATATGAGCATGAACCAATGCAAAAGAAGGAGAGAAAAGGTTAGTATGCCAAAAAAAAAGAATAAATAAATAACTAAGTAAATTAAAACATCACACAAAATAAGAGAATGAACCCTATGCTTTTGGTCAATTCTAAAAGGGAAGGATGATGGCTCTATCTATAGGTTAGGCACTCTTAAGGTTCACTATATGTGGTTTGAGGTTAAAGTCTAAAGGTTCCCAAATTGCTCCTTACATCATTGTCCATCACAGACTAGTAAGGCACCATAATCCTCACCCATTATAGGCTACAAGCGAAAAAAGGTTCAATTTGAGTGGGAGTATTTCACTAGCCACTATAGAGGCATTAAACTTTCACGAAAGCAATAGGTACTTTACTCCCTCCTAGAGGGATGGAGTTCGAGTATAAAGCTCATGTTATGTATATGCATATGAATGACATAATTAATAAAGTAAATAAACATGAATGAATAAAAAAATCTATACAAAAAGGTTCAATTTTATTAGGCTTTTGGATAACACAAATTTATATACTGGCCTGACTCTTAGACGTCTCCAGGGGAGTCGCCAAACTGTTATAACGTTTAGATCCGGGGATCCATCACTAGACATTGATTTGAGGAGTCGCCACTAATCTTTTTATTTAGGTGTGATTGGTCACCTAAGGAATCCATCTTTTTAAGGAACACCTAAGCCTAAGGGTCGCTAAAAGAATAGGTTCAGGTCTACTAACCAGAATAGGGTTTGGAAGTAGGGTTATGTGTGAGAAAGATTGTAGCACCCTCACAACGTTCCATCAAAAGATGGTACCAGCTTAATTTTGTGTTATCCAATAAGCCTTAAAAATTTACCAAGTAATTAATTATTAGAAATTATTCTCAATTGACTTTAATACTTTTAGCAAAAAATTGAAAAAATTCTCTCACCTCAAGAGTATGCAAGGAAACTACTATTTCACTTGCAGAGGCTCTATCATCGGATTATTTAACATTAAAAAAAATTCAAAAAGGAAAAGAAATAAAATGGAAAAAAAAGAATAATGATTCAGCTTTAGATATAAATCCTTTTCTCTTCAAAAACTCATTGCTTTTGTACAAAAAAAATTGATACTTTCAACTTTTCCTTAAAATGTTTTTTTCTTTTTAGAAAAATTGGTACTTTCAACTTTTTCTCAAAATATTTTTCTGAAACTTTAATTTTGAGAAAAATTGATATTTTCAACTTTTTCTCAAAAACATTTTTTTAGAAAATTATTTTTAAAGAAAATTGATACTTTCAATTTTTTCTCAAAAATATTTTTTAGAAAACTTATTTTCAAGGAAAATTGATACTTTCAACTTTTTCTAAAAAATATTTTTTAAAAAAACTTATTTTAAGAAAAATTGATACTTTCAACTTTTCCTCAAAAATATTTTTTTAGAATTTTATTTAAACAAAATCATTTAAAAAAATAAAATAAAATAAAATAAGGAATATC